TTTGCCACTGAGAAATGGAGTTGCACTTTTATCTCCAGTGCCTAAGAAAGGAGTGAGTGGAAGTCTGTTTATATTAACTTCACATACTCTCAGGGGTCATCACCTCCATGCCAGGCTCTACGGGAAATGTGAATGCCGTTCAAAGAAAAAGGATTGGAAACTTCCGAAATACTTGAATTGGAAAAAACAAAACAAAACAGCAACAACAACAACAACAAAAACTTTAAAAAATTATGTTAAACATTAAGAAGGATCAAATGGCTACCATGGGCCCACTCGGAGTTGGCCTTTATTGGATTGCTGGGTGGGATGGAGAGGTGCGTGTTGACACTAAGGTCATAGAGTGTTACAGGGATGCCCAATGATAGGCATGGGCTCTGTCTTCAGTATACTCTAAATTGCTGTTTTCTTTCGCCTTGCCTACCAAATACATTTTTGAAATGTAATTGAAAGCAGGAGAAACCGTGGTCGTGCTTCCTCTGAACTCCAAAATTTTCCTTCTCTGAAACAAAACCCATAACTTCAAGGTTCTGGAGTTAAACAAGCTTTAGTAAATAAGGAAACTCCAAGTTTCTATCTCCTCCAAAGCTTTGACTTTGATGTTTAATGATGAATTTACAAATCTCAAACATGTCTACAAGTAGTTAAAGAAACTACAACTAACTCATAAAACACAAAGCACACGAACCAATGGATTACGTCTTGGAGTGGTTTTATAACAGGCGTTTTATGGGGAGTTCCAATGACACCCAGAGATTTCATCCCATTTCTTCATGTGGAAAGTACTCTAGTGTCCCAGTAATTTTGAAAGCGTTCTCTTACTTAAAGCTCCTTGGCAACTGGTTTGATCATAGTGAGTGTGCTTATGGGAGTTCAGCCTTGGATTTTTTCCTCCCTCCCTCCCTCCCTCCCTCCCTCCCTCCCTCCCTCCCTCCCTCCCTCACTCCCTCCCTCCCTGTCTTCCTTCCTTCCTGCCTTCCTATTTTCTTACCTGCTTGTTTGCCTTGCTTCCTTCCTTAATTTAAGCATCCAATGGTTCATCCCTTGGAGGGGGTGGGGACTTCAGGGAATTAAGATTTTGGTGAGTCTCCATGCTGGACAGTATAAGTGCTAACAATTCAGTAGAACAATACATTGCAATTCCCAGTGTGTTGAATGGGGAAGATATTTTCACAGAACAGGGCTCTTATTTCAGTTGTGGGCAAGAAGGTCAACAGAATTTGTGTTTCAAACCATGAGACTCTACTGAAGAAGTTTTGTAACTGAACTATAGGAAGAAGAGAAACAACCATAAGTTAAAAGAAATCACAATGACAACAGAATAAAAGTGAAGTTGAATGTACCTGGAACTTGAGGAAAAAATGGTGAGTTGAGCTAGGAGGGTCTATCGGTTCCTGAGATTTGTCTGTCAGTGAGATCCCAGCTGGCTGGACTGGGATGAATTGACCTTCCCCCACATGGGAACCTCTCTGGCAAGTGGTGTGCACATCCTTGAACAGTGTCAGTTCCACACTTACCGGACACAGATTAGGAATGTTGGCTCCCACTCTGATCCTTTCGATGGGAAATCTTGTTTTTAGATGTATGGACTTTCCCCCCTTACTTTACTTTAGTACCTTTTTCCCTTTTCTGGGCCAGCTCCTCATCTGTGGTACCGGTAGTGTTATACTTAGCCATCACCTTTTCCTTAACTTCTTGGCAGTGAGAGTGTTTTCACTTCCCTGGTTTTTGATGATCTTGACAGTTTGGAGAAGTGCTGGTCAGGAGTTTTATAGCTGTTCCGTAGATGGAATTTGAATGTTTCCCCCACCATTAAAGTTACAGGTTCTGAGAAGAAGAGTACACAGGTGCAGCACCACACCCATCACGTGATGCAAAGGGTTTGTCCTGTCAACTTTATTAAGCACTGCTGGTGTTGACGGTCTCCTAGCTGGAGCTGTGCTGGCCATTTTCTTCCCTGGGAAGTTTCCCTCCTCACCCTTTTTCCGTACTGTAGTCTTTGGAAGGAAGGCAAGATGTTCTGTCCACCGCTAAGGAGCAGGGAGTCGCCTGCGTGCTTCCTTGTGGGTGGAGGAGCTATATACATCAGAGTCCTTTACACGGAAGGTTTGTATTCCTTCACTGTTTGGTCATTTATTAATACCTTTATGAAGACAAAGATACTGCTTTTCCTTCTGAGTAATAATCTGACAATTTTTTTTTGTCAAAGTATTAGGAATTTAGCTTTAGTATTAGGGACTATCTTAGTTGGCTTCTGTACCCTTTTTTATATCCTCATGTTTGTGTGTGTATGTGTGTGTGTGTGTGTGTGTGTGTGTGTGTTTAGCATGGTGAAAATATCATTTATGACTTGTTAGTTGATGATACATGACACCTTGGATTTATCAAAAGCCATAGAACTTTATAGACCATCAAGGAAACCTTAACGTATACAAACAAACAAGCAAACATCAATGGTGGGTGTCTTGTTTAGGATTCTGTTGCTGTGAGGAGGCACCTTGACTATGGCAACTCTTACAAAGGAAAACATTTAATTGGGGCTGGCTTACAGGTTCAGGTTTAGTCTATTACTGTCATGGTGGGAAGCATGGCAGTGCACAAGCAGACGTGGTGCTGGAGAAGGAGCTGAGAGTTCTACAGTGGATCAGCAGGCAGCAGGAAGAGAGAGACACTGGGCCTGACTTGAGCATTGGAATCCTCAAAGCCCACCCCTAGTGACGTACTTCCTCCAATAAGGACACGTATATTCCAACAAGGCCACACCTCCTAATAGTGCCATTCCCTGGTGACCAAGTATTCAAATCTATGAGCCTATGGCAACCATTCTTATTCAAACCACCACAGTGGGAGAGCCCAGGGTGGAATGCAGAATGCCACAAAAATATATTTAACTACACTAAAATGTATGAAACAAACTTATTGTGATTATTATTATTTAGAGAGGGTCTCATGTAGCCAAGCTACCACCTTGCTAGTGTAGTCAAGGATGGCATTGAACTTCTAACCTTCCTGCCTTTATTTTACAAGTGCTGGGATTATGGAGATATGCTGCCATGTCGTTTTATTTGGTACTGAAGGTCACACCCAGGCCTTCATGCTTACTAGTATAGTCTACCAACTGAATTACTTTCCCAGCCCCTGAAACAAAATCATTAAAGGGTACTAAATAGCTTTGGAAATGAGTGACATCTGTAAGAATAAAATGCAAAAGGAACTGTACTAAAGCCCAGATCTTATATTGATAACATTTTTACAATTTAGATACTACTTTATGGGTGTACTAGAATTGAATACTTATGTGAATGGATGAATACTTATGATGGGGGATGGATGCCAGGTTTTTGTGGAGGCTTAAAAGTAAGCATAGTGTGGAAGTAGACCATATGACAGTGTCATAGGCCTTTGCCTGAGTGCTTTGGTACTTCTAATCACTAAACAAACACATGCTTTGCAAAGTAGAGTTTGTAAGCAGTTGAATGTCATGAGGTGGGAACCCAAGACTCCAATCTGCTTCTTTGAGGCTAGGGTTTAGATGGCAAGTATTAGGGGATAAATAAACACTGTGGTCTGAGGCATGGGAAGAGAAACTGAATAGTGAAGCCATTGGCAGTCTTCACATGTGTAATTAAACCTTTTGCTTCTTCATAGAAAGGAAGCTTGTACAGAAATGGTCCCATTAGTGCCATCTGAGGGTGGTCGTGGTGTCTTTGATGTCAAATGGTCATATGAGACACTTGTGTAAACCCAGGTGAAGGGTGGGTAGTTTCAACAGGTTTGAGTGACTTCCAGGTTCCTGTAAACCTTCTGTGGCCACCTTCACTTTCCTGACTAATGTATCAGAGGTGCTCTCTATTGATGAGCTGTGTGACTTCTAAAATTGATGATAAAAGAAGGAACTATAAACAAATACAGCTAGTTACTCTTGAGGACATGATGTGAATACTTCAGCAGTACACTGCAGAAATACAGTGAAAGGAAACTTGATTTAATATTTAAAGTATACTGGAAATGTCTTTAATTTCTTTATGCTATTATCTCCTTTATTCCCCATGATAACCCCTGAAGTATAGATGTTATGATCCTATTTTGAATGTGCTAAGATTCAGAACATATGAGTGACATGGTTAAGGATACTAAGTGGTCAGAACTGCCTTAAATATGTCACTGATGCCGATGAGTTTCCTTGTAGCATGAGGTGCCTTTAAAATAGGACTCACACTCAAGGGATTTGTCATCCCTTTGGAAGATAAGAAAACTTCACAGTTACTGTTCCTCAAATCCCATATTAATATTCTTTTGAAAAGATTTAGTTTTATCGAGGTTGGGAGGGAAGTGGCCTGTTGCCTGTCTGTGGAATGTGGAGGGATAGTTTCTGCATGGGTCTTCCAGAAAGCAGCAGCTGAAGACGGCAGTGTCTGCCTTGGATGATAAGAACCTGGTGGAGCGGCTTTGCTCAGTAAAATTTTTGTTAATTAAAGAAGGCACATGGGCTTCGTGTAGCCCATGAAGTCACTTGCACACTACTGTGATGGTTGTGTATTAACTATTTACAGAGTGACTGGAGGCTAGGTCATTAAATTCTTCCAACTGCAGTTGTGATCAGCCAATCAGACAGAGCAAAGAAATGTATCTTTTGAATATGAATGAATGTAAATAACATCTTGAATTGATTTAAATGCAATAAATGGACAAAATGGAGGGAGGGAGGGAGGGAGGGAAGGGGAGAGAGAGAGAGAGAGAGAGAGAGAGAGAGAGAGAGAGAGAGAGAGAGAGAGAGAGAGAAGGATGCCCTCAATTACAGTAGGACACAAGGAGGATAAATGATAAATTTATCATTTGGAGTCTTTGGAAGGCAAGAAACTGAGCAGACTGAAAAGTAGAACAGGCTGCATAAGTAATGTTTCCTACGTCACTTTCCACGTTAACTGAAGGGCTAGTGAGGGGACTCAATCCATTTCTTCAAAAACTATGGACAAATTAAGGCAAATGAGGACACTGGAGAGTCTTGAGATCGCAGCGGTTTCCACATGTGCTGCTGGCTCTATTATTGTCCGAAATTTTCCATAAAGTAATTAATCCGTACTTCGTCAACAGTGACTGTACCTCTAGGAAAATGGATTAAGACAGATCTGCGTATCACCTCAACCTGTAGAAAGGCGTGTGCCCAGTTCCTTCATGCCTCTCTCTGTCTGCGTTTTCTTAAGTTCTTCTGACCTGTTATTATAAATGATAGGCAAGGGAGGAACATCTTTTAAAGACGTATTTTTAATTGTGTGTGCGTGCACACGCGTGTGTATGAGGGCATGCATGTGTGTGCTCCTGTGAGTGCAGGTACCTTCAGAGACCAGAAGAGGATATTGGATCCCATGGAGCTGGAGTTGTAAGACAGTTGGGAGCTCCCCAGTGTGGGTGCCAGAAACTGAACTGAAATCCTCTGTCAGTGCAGCCAATGCTCTTAACTGCTGAGCCATCTCTCCAGCCCCTCCTGTAAATTCTTGACTTCTACTTACCTCTCTCCTAGTTCAGTGGCTCTAAAATGTCGCTGGACCCGAGGATCACCTGGGATGGGATGGTGCTCCTCGTTAGTACAGATTCCAGCCCCGCCGTTGAAGTAGGATTCCAGTGGTTTGAGTTGTAGTGGACTCTCTGCCTCTTATCCACCTCACCCATGCTGCTGATGGCGCCTCTGCGGAAATCCTGGCCTGGCCTGTTGCCTGTGCCGTCGAAGCCTGAGCATGTCGTCACACTCTGGCCACCTTAAGCAAAACAAATGAGGGACCCTGCGTGAATGGCATGCTTGTGGCATTTGCCATTTTACCGAAAAGTGACTCCTTTTGCCTATTACCAAGACAACATAATAAGTGTGGCATCCCCGTGCCTCGGTGAAGTAAGGAGCTAAAAAACCACCAGCAGTGCCCGGGGTGAGAGCACCAGTATTTCTAACAGTCTGGGGTTCTCCCCACAGAGGCTCCTTGACCATGTAGTTGAACGAGGATAGCAATATGGTGATGCTATTTTAGGCTATGAGTGCACCTCCCCTTTCTTTGGTCTGGAGACACCTTAGAAAGCAGCTTGTGGCCACACAACATCCAACATGTTACCTGAAGCCTTAGGGAACTAGACATTTTCTTTCCTGACAGATGATGTTCTCTCTACAAATGCAGATACTCTTGTTCCACAAATATAAATATACTTTAAACAATTTTAAGAATCCTTGTGCTTTATCAAAATATATAGTTGTAGCCAGTAGTTGCTGTAGTTACTATGGCTGTCATGTAAGGTTTATTTTTTACCCCCAGGTTGTGACCAGCTTGTCTGACTCATTTAAGAGATGCCTACAATGCCCCAGGCATGCTCCTGGACTCTGTACATGAGACTGCATCTCATGGAGCTCTGGCCGGCCTGACCTTTGCTGTGCAGCCGACTTCTGCTCTCCTTGCTTCTGTCTTTCAAGTGTTGGGATTCCGGGCCTGTGCCATCATGGCCAGGGGGATGCAGTACTGGGGATCAAGCCCAGGACTTCATGCATGTTAGGCAAACGCTCCGTCACCTAAACTCCAGCTCCAGCTCCAGCTCCCGACTCCTCTTGTCTATTTTGTTTTCTTAAAAAAAGAAGGTTTTAATTGAAAACACTTCCCCCTGCCTTCCCCCCCTCCTACCCCTCTCAGCTACCCTCCATCAAACCCCTGTAATACCCCCCTCAAGTGGATCGCCTCTTTTTATTTGATTATGTTTGGTACATAGACACACACACATGCAATTTCTAGATTTTGATTTATGGGGGGGACACATATGTCACGGCACACATGTGAAAGTCAGAGGACAACTTGCAGGAGTTGGTTCCCTCTTTCCATCATGTGGGTCCCAGGGATCAAACTTGGGTTGTGAGACTTGAAACCCCCTCCCTGACCCCATTTTCTGTTTTTTTATTATTAAGGGTCATATAGATTAAAACTCTTTTTACTTAATGTTAAAGGCTGAGAATAATTTATTCTTACAATTGTACCCATCTGTTCAAGAAACAGGTATCATTTATTCAGATAAAAAGGGTAGAACATAGAAAAATTACTCATTTTTTTCCTTTAGGAAATCCTTGCAGCTGTATTTTAGCTATGTTTTGTTATAGTTTTCTAGTTATCTAGAAAACCACATGAAACCACAATAGTAGTCTACATAATTCTGATTTTGACTTGAATTTAAACTCCAAACTCCCTCCCACTCTTTACCTCAGCCTGTGCCCCTCACTCACTCCTCCCTAACCAGAGAGGGTTAGCGACCCCAGAGCAAGCTGTGAAGCTCTTCCTCCCCCCCCCCCCAGCCCCCGCCAGCACAGCCCTTGCGCCAATGGCCGGAGAAACAGTTGAAGAGAAGAATGCTAATGAAGATGCACATTGTCATGTTCCAAGCTTGCGGGGTTGAAAGGCTCCTCCAGTTGTTTCCTTTAGTTTGGCTGGGCATCCCGAGGCTGCACAAAACACAGCAAAGCATCGGACTTCTCGACATTCCTCCTGTGAGGAGTGCTTTAGAGACTCACGTAGCACAGTCCTCTGTAGACCTCGGCGGCTTGGCTTGATCTTATTTGGGTCACACATCTCTCTGTGCCTAGAGAAGTCAGGAAAAACAGTGAGTGGCAGCCGTGATTTATGGGGAGGCAGTGTGGGCTTCCACTGAATGCTAATCACTGGGAAGCATTTAGGGGGAACTGCAGGAACTGTTGGTTTGTGGCAAATGAGTCATTTGCATAGAGAGATGGACTGGAAGTTTAGAACTGAGCCACAGAGTCACCTAAACCCTTATGACCGACTGCTAAACTTGGTGACAGTTCAGAGAACAAACAAACAACCGAGTTGTGCTGAACAGTAATAAGCGACTTTGGGTGGGTGTAATGAGGCGAGCACCACTACGTGTACAAAGCTGAAAGCATCTGACCACTTCAGGACTAAAGGATCAGGATACCAGACTGTTAAATAAAATACCAGTTACACCCTCAGACTTGCCCATGCTGCTGATAGTGTTGACGATCAGCTTCTCTGGAGGTGTGGGATCCTGGAGTAGACTGGCTTGCATTTGCTGTAGTCCGACTGTCCACACACAGACTGCTGCCTTGGTCTCACAGCACAGCACAGCACAGCACAGCTTTCCTACGAAATGATTTCCTAGCTCTCAGCACAACAGGCGCCTGCCTTAGGAAGCGTTCCTTGAATCGCAGGCAGTGTTCTTTCTCATCTCGGCTCCCTTCCTTCTTCATTTCCATATCTAGCCACAAGAAGAGGGGAGTTAATGATTCATTTGCTCCCTGGTGACCTTTTGAATAACTGGACTGCGATGTATCAGCCAGACTCCAGGTCCCCCTCTCTCCCCCTCCGGCTTCTCTGGTTTGGCTTTAATATTTACAGCCTCCTTGTTGGTCTACATGCCTGAACGCCCGAAGGAAGCAAAACATTTATTGCCTCTCCCTCTCTGAGTTTGGAGCTGTTTCACCCAGCCCCATTCCCGCCTTTGACATCACGGGGAGGCTCCTGGCTGGGCATGGTCTGCCTGCTCTCCTCTGCCTCAGCTGATCCTTTCACCCAAACAAACAATGGATTCTGATTCCGACTCACCTTTCAACTACTCCTGGCCTTCCTTCCCCAAGATGAAGATTCGACGCAGGGCATCCAAGAAAGGTAGATAGATCAGGGTGCCTTTTGTTTGCCCAGAGCCAAACCCTGGCACCTCGATAGCGTGCTCTCACCTCTCTGTCCTGCATTTCTCTGCCTGCCTGCCTGCCTGCCTGCAAGTGAGGGTTGTGTTTTCACATGTCTTTGTAGAGCTCATGCTGTACAAACACTTTGTGTATGGACTTCAGAGGCATACTTATTTCCTCCTTCTGTTCCTTCTACTTTAAAATCTACCTTACTGCCACGATCCATACTTTTAAAAATAATGCAGGATTGGGGAGGTGTCTGGGGGTCAGTACAAGGTAAATGTTTGGGATTCATTTAATCAGAGTTACCTTGGAGTTACCTTGACAATAAAGAGTCCTGTTGATTTAAACATGTCTAGACTTTGTAAAGTTTAAAGAGAACTCGAGCTTGCTACTTACTTTATGCTTCTGATTTTGTGTGTGTGTGTGTGTGTTTTGAAGTTAATTACTTCAAGGAAATTTGTTCCTAAGAGGTCCTATCTAATGATTTGGTAGTTGTTACAAGGAAAGGTTTTGGAAACAGTGATTTCAACAAGAATGTCTCCAGAGAACCCAGAGACCAGTTCTGTTTACCTCCAGTAAGCAAGTAAATTAAAAGCAAGGTCAAGCCGAAGGAAGAAGGGCCTGGGATCTCTGGAGGCGCATGGTGGAAGGGACTTCCTTGGTTTATTCCCTCTTCTCGGGCCCTCACTGTAGTGTGGGCTTGGCAACCAAGAGGAAAGTACTAGGGAAGTGCTCAGAGAAGAGACTCTCCCATCCCGGCTAGGGTGTCAGAGGTTCTTGTTGCCTTCCGAGGCTTGCAAGAGCCAGAGAGGCAGTAGGCTGCCCTTCCCTTTCCCTGTCTTGTTAGAGACTTGTGTGGTCACCTTTAACTCCAGGGGAAGGAACACGGAGGATGGCAGGCTAAGGGGCATTTCTCCTGACGTTTCTGTCTTCAGAGCTTGCCAGCTCTGTACAGCAGTGTTGTACCTGAGGTACTCTGTGTTCCCATAGGAGGATGGACTCCAGGGGTCGTCCACGTACCTAATTAGCTTCAAGGATTTTCTTCCAAACTTCTAGGGTAAACTAAAGGTGTTTGTTTGTTTGCCTATTAGCTGGGATTAAAGCAATTTTAGGAATAAGGTGAATTGGACATGAGGGGACGCAGGAAGCCTCGGCCTCAATACTGTTTCCAGGCTGATCCACTGTCATCTTTGAAATGCAGCCATCAGAAATCTTAATATTTAGTGTTTAATGTACTATTTTGTTATCCTGTCTTAAAACCAATTTCTTCTTTATTTTGTACCCAAAAAAGGTTCTTTTTATTTTACATAATTTTATTGATTTTATAGATATAAGGAAGAGATTTTAAAATGTCAGTGGTAAAGCTTGTCTCCCTTTAAAGGATGTAGTGCATATATTAAAGGCATAGTGTATTGTCATTACATGATTCTGGGAAATATACGCATGCAGGAGAGAGTTAGCTGCATGTCAAAGTGAGCCCATATGCAGATAGAAAAAAAAAAGAGTAAAACTTTAGCAGAAGGTTAATCTGGGTAAAGAGTATGTGGTAATCTTTGTGTTATTCCTACTTTTTCAGATCTTTTGTGATTTGCAATTATTATCAAACAGTAAAGTTTTACAAAATGTGACTTATTTCCAAGAGGGGACATACATAGAGGCCCTAAGAATTGAAGGTGCGTTTTTTAGTTGTGGTGTACCGGGAGTGTAGCCAGAACAGGTTACTTCCATTTTGTATTTATGTTGTCTGGACAACCTACTGGATGCCTATACTTTAGGAGCTGGGACTCCAGGTAGGGAGCAACCTGGGAGGGAAGGGATTATGATTGGAAGCCAGGGAGAGCCTTGAGAGGCCAGTGGAGTGGTAGGAACATATGAATCACACTCTCCCTTTAAATCCAAATTTGGAGCTCTGCCAGCCTGAGCCAGAGCAGAAAGTCATAGCAAAGCTATGTATAAATTAAACCTGGTTCAAGTGAAAGCAAGTACCTGGGTAGGAAAATGATTAACTCTTTGCCACCAGGAAACAAAAGGTAAGTGAGAATGAAGTCAGTGGGCCAGCGTCGGGGGTTGTTAGACTACCTAGCCCATGGCCTTCCTTGGTTAGGTGATGGGGACCTAGTTGTGAAGAAAGTGATTGGCCCTACTGTACTATCAGCTGGGCAGAATTCCAGACCCGTAAGCCCGTAGAGAGCCAAGAGGGCTATAGCGATAAGCCAGGCCAGCCACCTTACCTCCAGGAGAAGGAGGTAAAGCTCAGAGAGACTCAGCAAAGAACTGATCAAATATGTCCAACAAGCATCTCTGGAGTGACAGATGCTTAAAGGTCAGGTCAGCCCTGGGCCTGCATTGCACATCTCCCAGGGCCCAGGTACACCAGTTCCTTCCCTCCCCCACTTAGTAACAAAACAACAACAACAACAACAACAACAACAACAACAACAACAACAAAACCCATAAGAAATCTGACTTTGACAAGGTCTATGTAGTCCTGGCTGGCTTGAATTTGCTATGTAGACCAGGCTCAGAGATCTACCAGTCTTTGCCTCCCAAGTGCTGGTATTAAAGGAGTGTGCCATCCTACCTGGCCCAATAAATCTGATTTTGTACCCTAGTGGCCAGATTGTGAAGAATAGTGCTCTCTTGTCTTTGAAAGGGTGACACCATTGTTAGTGTGTCTGCAACAGTAAGAATTTCTCTTCATTCTCTCCATCAGCCCTCAGTTCATGCGTGTGTGTGTGTGTGTGTGTGTGTGTGTGTGTGTGTGTGTGTGTGTGTGCATGTGTGCGCACGCGCGTATGCGTGTGCATGTGCCAAGGCCAAAAGTCAACATCTGACATTGTTCCTTCAGAGCTGTCTACTTTTTCCGAGACAAGGTTTTTCCCTGGGCCTGGGGCTTACAATTAAGTTAGACTAGCTAACTTAATTAAGCCCCAGGGATCCACCTGTCTCTACTTCCCCAACGCTGGGCTGGGATTACAAGCCTCTGCCACCATACTTGGTTTTTTTCTTTGGGGGCTGAACTCAGGTCCTATGGTAAGCACTGAACAGCTGAACCGTCTTTCTGGTTCCTCTCCTTTTCCTTCTAATCATCAGCAGTTATTCTCCCCCTGGAGCTCCAGCCACCTCGGAAGTCTTGGAGGAGGATCTTGGGGCTTTGAATTTATGGTCTATCAAACAAACATCTCTTGTATTTATTAAGGTATATGTTCTTCTAGTCTCTACTGTTGGTTCCCCATAGTCACCCTATTTTCTTGTATTTCATTCCCCTGGAGGTCCTCTCCTGTCCCTGTTCTCAGTTCTTTGATAGATATTCAGACATATCCACACTGCCAGCTTGCTTAGCAAGTGATAAGAAGTTTCAACAGGGGTTCGTAATAAGAAAACCCACCAAACAGCATTTTAACTCAGTACTTGCTTTTCCTCCTGCCTTTAGAGAAGGAGACTATGTCACCATTCTTTGGAAATGACGGGTGCCATGGAAGCAGTTAAAGCCAAGTTGCCCAACGTGAGACCTGGGGAGGCCATTCTCAGAAGCTCTCCTCCGTCATCTCACAGG